AAAAGTGGGCGAGAGAGAGAGAGAGAGACTGCACTGAATCCAGCGATTGTGCGACCTGCGCACTTCGGCGACAACGGTTTGATGCGCATACGCTTGCCTGATCTACACATGCCAGATCAGCTTTTGCCCGCAAAAAGCCATAGCTGTCCGCGGTGCCCTTTCTCGTTTTGGAGGAGGTTTAGCCACTGAGGGTCCGGGTTTTGCTCTCCTCGCAATTTGTGTTGGGTTCCCTTCGCGATATCCGCTTAGGGTGACCGTGCCTCATGCACTCAAAGCGTTTGTCGGGCGGTTCCGCCCGCCGCGGAGGCCCTGTCGCAACTCTCTGTGTGCAAAAGTCAGATGGTCGTTTTCAGCCTACCTGAACTGGAGCGTGTGATTGCGGCCCGTTGTTGTGTGTGAATGCCAAATTTGTCCCGAAAGAAAAAGCAACGCGGAAAGAGCAAGGCCACTCCGAAATGCCAAGAGGGAGAAACCTGCTCAGATGGCTGAGGCCGCTGCGGCCTCGCCCGGGCGTGATCACTCACCTTCCCTCAAAATCTTCAGGCGGATTCCTTTCCGATGCTGAATGCCACCAAGTTGCTCCCTTCTTTACTGGCAATGACAAGCCAAGATGAGCATGTGCCAATTCAGAGGAGGGGGGCAAGCCGTCCAGCCTCCCAGATTCAGAAAGCCAGGGGCGGCAGAACATGGCCAAAATAGCGGAAATAGAGGGCCACTTCTTCATGGCCGATCGAAACACGCGAAGAGAAAGTGCTGAGGCGTGCATAGGGGATGAGATTGACCGCCCCATGCCCAGCGATTCCATTTACACGTACAGGTAACCAAGGGAACCAGCCTTTAAACGCCAGAAGGAAAGTGGCTATCCCAGTAGTCATAGGCCCGTCCACAACCATGCATCCGCTCAAGCCGAGCAACGCGTGTGAAGCGCACGCATATGCGGCGTGTGCCTTGGTTTTTGCGGTGCCACAGCAGCTCAAGCTGGCCGAGTGGTCTAAAAGACTGGGACCGCACATGTTTGACATGACTCCAGTTGCGTTAAAGGGGTTCTCTTTAGAAAACGAGTCAAAGCCTTGTGTTCCATACCTATGAGTCTATGAGCGAAGGGGTGTAGTTGGCCTGTCAGCTCGATACCTCGCAGATTCCATCGTTCTCGCCACCCGTCGAGTGAGTGAATGCAGTGATGAACAAGGTGCCTGTAGCTCTTCGACTTTGATCTGGCCGGCAATCCGTGTAGCAAAATGCATGTCTTGGCTCATATGCACAGAGCCAGCATCATCCATCCCGAAGGGAGCCGGCCGCCAGTGAAAGCACCGAAACAGTCTCAGCTCCGCCCAAGACTCCAGGACTGGTCGGTCACTGTGCTATGCCTATCCCAAAAAAACAGTTCGCTGCGAAGACACGCTTCACACTCTCAGCAACAGTCTACGCAGGGCGGCAATGCGGCGGGATGAGCTCAGCTCTGGATGAGCATTCTGCCAAGCAGCAGCCGCAAAAACCTGCAGCAACCTGAACGGCCCGCAGCAACACACACGCACACGCAGCACTGACGGGCACAGGCTTGCGCCAAGTCGTTGACAGTCTTCACATTGTCCTTCTTTGGCCTGAGCTGCTCGCCTCCACTTGAGCATCCACCACTCATTTTGGTGGATATATCCTTTGAATTTCCATGCACTCGTCCGCTCTTCGCCGCTATGCGCTGCTAATGATCGCCGCACAGACTGCGAGGATGCCTTTGCCGCAAGGGCGTGGAATCCCCTTGCAACATGCGCCTGTGGCTGCCGTGGCCGCCGGGCAGCTTGCTCCCGAAATTGCTTTGCCACGTGCTCCTGGCTTTCAGGACTGGCAATGCTTCCAAAGAGCCTGCAAAGCAAGAACAAGGAGAATGGCCAAGCTTTGCAACTGTGGCGTTGCGTTTCTTCAATTCTTCTTAAACAGCAAACCTCCTTTCCGTGTTAAAGGAAACCAGAAGGTGGTGGTTCAGAGCGTCTAACAAAGGTTCAACTCTAAAAGATCACCCCCCGCCCCAAGCATCGCCCACACCCCTTTTACGCAGCTCTCAGAGTATGGAAGGCTCGCCGACCCAAAGCCGGTCAATGGGTTGCAGGTCGGAGGCAAGAAAAGGTAAGCACGCCGGCAGCATGGGTCGGTCCTGGGCCGAACCTCTGGCACGTGACGACCGTGAACCTTTAAACCCAATCCCCTTCCAACCTTAGGCCCACACTCAAAGCTTTTCTCACCCACCTCTATATAAACCAGCCCGAAACCAATCCTAAGCCCGGCCCAAAAGCAATCCCACACACAACCCTAGCTGACCCCTGAAACCCAAATCAAAACTTCTAACCCCAATGCCTCAAAACCACAGCCACGCAAAGCCTAAATCAACTGAGCCCCAACTCGTCTCAACACCTACCCGAACCCCACCACCCTGAAAACCAACTATTGGCCAGGAGGGGGTCGAAACAAGGAGAGGAAAAAAAAACCAAAACGCACTAAGAACAAAAAAGAAGGCCCGGGGGCCGTCCCCGAGACCATCGGTCAACTGCCTGGGGGGACCGGCCCCGTGATCAACGGTCAACCGCCTTGGGGGGACCGGCCCCGTAATCAACGGTCAACAGCCTGGGGGAACCCACGTGAACCGCAGGACCGTTCCAGTGTGAACCGGCGGTCAACCGTGCCATGTCCGCGCCTGCGGCATCAGGGCCCGAGTTTGTGCCCTCCTCGCCGGAATTGCGTTCTGACACCCCGCGCGTTGGCACACACGAGGCGGTCACCGTGGCTACGCCTCCCTTCCCGAGTGGGGAAGTCACCCCGGGCTTCGAGCCATGCCCGCCACAAAATGTAGCTGTTTGCCCTGCTTGCCTTGGCCCGGTTCTGCCGGAGGGGGCCGGCCCGGCCACGGCGTGCCGCTGGCCTGTATGCGGGCATTCATACCATGCCTTGTGCCTTGCTCGTTCCCGCGCCCACGTGCAGCGCATGCAATGCGCCCTATGCAGGCAGGGTTGGCGACCGGCCTTTGGCAGCGACCTTGAAGCCTTATGTGGCCAGCTTGGCATTGATTGGCACGCCTGTTGCTTCTGATGACGCTGACGTTGCTATGGCCCCTGCGGCTCCCGAGCTTGATGCTTTTGTTACCTCAGCCCCCGTTGCGCCTGCGAATCTTGTTGAGCCCGCGCCTCCGCCAGCGGTAGGTCCTCACACCTGGACAGCTGCCCGGCCCCCCCTTGCAGAGGGCCAAGTGCCTCCGATCAACAGTTGGTTTTTCGTGCCGCTCCTTCTTGCCGGCGGAGGCCTTTTGCTCCAAAATGCAGAACGCCAATGGTCAGCTCATCCCGTTCTCGCCGTCGGTTGGCAGGCGGCTGTGTCTCAACTCCGTCGTTCTCCGCCGGTGCCTCTGTCTCGGTTCCTGTCTGTCCTTGAGACCCCGCAGGATGTTGCTGCCTTGGATGGTCGACGTGTTCCTGCGGCCGAAGCCTTGCTGGCGCCGTCGCTCCGTGAGGCGGGCGCAGCCTTGCCGACCCACACGCTTGTGCATTTTCGGTGGGTGTTGGAGCGATGCCACCGCACAGCTATGTCCCTGCCTCCGCTCAGGAAGCGTTGCTGCAAGTTTTTCTAAACGAGCGTGTTGCTTCTGACTTGTCTGTGTTGGCTGATCGTTTGCGTTCGGGCGCTCAGCCCACGCCACCGGTGGTCCCGCTGCGGCCCGCTGCGTTGACGGTGGCTCCCGTGCCTGCTTCATGACTGTGCTTGCCAGTTGGACTTCCCGGGCCGCCTTCTTTGCCTTCCGCGGCGCCCCTGCCAGGCCACCCAGCAGATCCCCTTGGACTTCCCGAGGCTCCGGTGGCCCTGCTGGGCCTTGCCCCGGAGCCGCTGCCCGCAGCCCGCCCTGGACTTCCAGCGGCGCCAGCGGGAGCTCCAACGCCCGTCCCACTGGCACAGCCGCCCCCAGCCGGAGAGCCTGGACTTCCCAGGGCCGCCTTCTTCGCCTTCCGCGGCGCCCCTGGCAGGCGACCCGGCAGACCCCATGCCTGATGCAGACTCGGCAGCTCTTTTGTCTTTGCCTCGAATGCCGGAACTTGAAAGCCCACCCGTGCGAGCAGCCCTTGCCCGGCTTGACCAGGTTGATTTGCCACGTGTCCTTCAGCAGCGGCGCTTGTTTTTCCAAAGCCCCCCAAAGTTCCTCCGCGGCCCTTTCCGGGCGGCCTTGTTTCTTGTCCTGCGGGCCATCGACTCCGCCAGGCCTGACAACGAGACCGAGCAGACTCGAGCGTGGATTCTTTGGTTGTTACTGCCCCGTTTGCTTCTCCACCGGCGCCCCGGCACTCACAGGCTTACCAAGCCCGAGTGGCGTGCCCGGCTTTTGATTTCCAAGCCGGCCGGTGGGAGGCACTGCTTGAGTCCGCCGCTGCGTGCGTTCCAGCTGCAACCGGCGCCCCGCCCCCCGCCGCCCCTGCCGATCCAGCACGTCGTGCGGAGCGAGCTGCGCGATTAGTCGGCCAGGGCGCCCGCTCACACCCGCCACCCTGGCCGAGTTACAGGACCCCGCCCGGAGGCCCGACCAGCCGTACGACTCCATCGATGCTGCAATTTTTGCTTTCCAACCTGAGTCCCCTGTCGTGCTCGCAGCTTCCACAGTGCTTGGCAATTTGCGGCGGGCTCGGAAAGGAGCTGCTGCCGGCCCCAGGGGTTACACAGCGGAGTTCTGCCGTCTGGCGTTGGATGACGAGGCGACTAGGTCGTCGTTTGTTCGTGCTGGATCCGCCTTGGCTCAGGCGAGACTCCCACCGTGCATGGCAGCTGCCTTTGGCCTGGGGCGCATGGTTGCCCTTCAGAAACCCAATGGGCGCGTCCGGGGGCTCGTGGTTGGTGACTTCTTGCGGCGTTTGGTGGCTCGCTCCTTGGCTCAAAGCTTTGCAACACGGTTCCTGGACGCGTGCCAGCCTTTTCAGTTTGCCTTGTCCGCTCGTGCCGGCACGGAGGCCGTGGCCCACGCCCTCCTTGTT